TATACTCGCTGACTCACAACTTGCAGATTCACCATTTGCTGGGTTAATACTCGCTACATTAACACTCCCTGAGTGAATACTCGCCGAGCCTTCACTATCTAAATTAACACTCCCTGAGTTAAACCTCGTTGAGCCGAATGTCGCCGAGCCAATACTCACTGATTTGATACTCGGCGATTCAACAATTGACGATCGTTAGGAGGTCAGCAATTCGTTTACTTGACGTACGTACCAGAAAAGTAGGAGAAGGACAGAGAGCCATACAGGTGGCTTTCACAAAGTTAAATCTAAGCTTATTGTCCACTTTTGTGCAAGGCGCATAAAGCCTATAGCTAGAACATTTTCCCATTGCACACTGTTACCTTAGAAGACATACAAATGTCCCGTAGACCGAGTACAACCGTTCTGGCACTTGCTAGCGTCATCGCCAATGAGTTAGCACAACATTACGTTTTGTCCCCCCCGCTAAAATACCGCTTTGTGTGGCCTGATGACGCAGTCAAAGGTCCCTTCTACATTTCACACACGCGTAAGTGCTTTCTATTTGCTTACCACAAATCATAATCGCACAGCTTCACAAAGATCATCTCGTCTTTCAAATCTACTTCTATTCTACTTGCACGTATCCTGCGGGTCCGACATCTTCCGCAATGAGTCGATAACCGTAAAGAAAAACGTCTTGTGCTCTATCTTATTGATGTCCAAGATTGACGAGCTGTCGGCAACGGCAAGAGCCAGCTTTTCTGAGGCCTCGATGAACGTCATGGCATCCAGTTCCTTGTAGCTCAGACCGGTCATCTCCTGAAACTTGCGGATACGGAAGTCGCGTGGCATCTTGCCGACCATAATCCCTTCCGGAGCCTTCACCAACGTAGTGTCCACAACATCGGCATTGACCTCAGAGTCTGAAGTCATGCTACGACGATTCCAATTCGCCGATCCGATGGACAAGTACACGTCATCGATGATCACAAGTTTCGTGTGGACCGGAATATTTCGCGCCTTCTTGGTAGTGTAGATCGCAAACTTGTTCGGATATTTTGATCGAATGGGTTCCACGCTTTCGTACAAGTACTTGGCGTACCCTGCATATTCCATGAAACCAACTTGCGCGCTCGTGACCACAACCAGACGCTGAATCGTTGGCATCACTTCCAGAAGCGCATTGAGAAGCTCTGGCACCAGGATAAAGTACTGGTCTTCAATGTAGATAAAGTTCTTGGCGTTCTTGATGGCTTTGATTCGGGCTTGGAACAGCGATGTCTCGCCCTTCGGAGCAAATTCGTAATGCTTGTACAAGCAGCTATATGTCCGTGTGATCTGAATGCTTTGGTTGCCAAGAGAGCCCGTGGTGTTGCTGCTGACGTAGTCGAGCGGGAGGATGGGCTCGTATTTGGGGTTTTTGAAGCCTAGAACCTTGTCGTCCATATCCTTACATGGTACATAGTCTGAGTTCCACCGTGCCACAGAGTTGCTGGCCACGTCTTTAGCGGCAGGGCCATGGATTCGAAGGTGTCCGTCGACCCAGCCCTCACCGAGATTGTTGAGCCCAGCAGCTTCTCGGAGAGCAGAGTTGTTGTGGTGGATCGTATCCCATCGGTCTCTTGTAAATTCCACTCCACCCACATAAGCCACTGGCTGCTCGTCCGGATCCTTAGAGCTCTTCGCTGCAATGACCATGGTCTTCTGGTGGTGGGAGGTCAAAGCTCTGGGATAGCGGTCGTCAAAGATGAGCACGGCTTTCGCACCGTTGATTGGGGAAGGCGGAATGCTGTTGATGGCGTCGCGCGCCTCGACGTTCAACTTTCTGTAATTCGTGGAGATAGTGGCCCAATTGAGAATGTTGACACTTCCGCCTCGCTTGACTACTCCAGCAAACACTTCCTTGATGCCAGTTGTCGTTCCCTTGGGATCAATGTCAGGTTTCAGTGGCACAAGAGCCAGAGACCAGGCACCAAGTAACACGCGGTCGCCCACTTTCGTTGCACTGAGCTCGTCATAGACTGCGCTGAAGAACTCGTTGGACGCCGTGTAGGATGTCACCTTGTTGCCTGTTGTGAACACCGCCATGTCGTCTCGAGGGATACCGCCGCGCGACGCCGTGATCTCGTTTTTTGTGAGGAACCATTTCTCGGCGTCCAGCAGAGGCTGCCGGGCCTTGATGTGGACTCCGTCGGATTGATCAGCAGGACTCTTCTCATCAGAGTCGTCGTCGCCAAACAGAGACCAAAAGGACCAAGCCGACGTAGGAATGGGCGCTAGCACAAGCCCGATGGATAATGCGATGAGCCGCATGACATGCAACTGTTCTGGAGCTGAGAAAAAGTGCGTTTGACGTCACCTGCCTCGAAAAGCTACAACAAGAGTCGCTATCGATATCGCCACATGTCGTCCGATCACTAAATCGAGTCGGTCCACCCACGCACCTTTTCAGCAGCAGGCAGACATACGACGCAACACATGTGTTCTTATTATGCGTCTCTTGGACATGAAACAATTGCATATGACAATGTCCCATCAGCAAGTTCACGGTCAGTTGGATGACGACGTTGCAGAGTTTGGGATTGCAAACCCAATGTCGGTCAAATAGGTCAAGGGCCTAAGATCTCAGCTGGAGTCGCGGCTGTAGGCGGCACGCAGAAAGCGCTACGGCCGCAGAGGCATTCGATGTTGCACTTTACACTCAAGCAATCGCTCATCGTGAAGTTGTAGTTGAACACATGTGTAAGCAACAAATAACACACGACATCGTGCGGCTCAGCGTCTCTGGCACAAGATTTGCACGTCTGCTTTGCTCTGTTGATACTTGTGGGCTACGTCGGGTCTACAACTTTTACCTACAGAGTGCCCTGTTTTCTCCACCGAACGAAGTTGGTGTCATTTACAGAATAGATGTCAGCGTAAACAAGCGAGATCAGTACGATATTTACGTGCTTATGACTCGTAGGAAGCGTCTGTCAGAAAAACGTCCTAGTCGTTTGCCACACCTACGTCGTTCACCACCCCACTACTTCGTTATGCTGCGTCAAAACGTCGGTCGTCACAAGGGGAGAGGGCACTTCGCGAGCGGCACGTCGGATTGGTGAATAAGCTTATGGATTGTGCAGCGTGCACATTGCGCCGGGAAAAGGGTGGCCAAGCACCACTTCGGCTATCTTGGGCAGGCTTTCCGTATTAATTTGAGGCGTGCATCACCAGTACTAACTCGAACGGACGATTTCACGTTCCAGGCGAGTTTTCTTCGTACGGTCGGCGTTCGCGCTCAGCGAACAGGCCGGCGACGTAGAGACGGATGTCGAATAGAATTGCATTGCTAGCGCCTTGAGTGGCGTGTGTATTTCTTGACTGGCCTCGCAACTTGCAATTTAATCGACCCCGGTGGCCGAGAAACTGCACTGGAACCGGGACCGGGAGGTACGTGGGTCGATACCCGCGCAGGGGCGGTACGATTACGCACCGCCGGAGAGTGGCTAACAAAGCCGGATATAGTGGGTCGTACGCGTACCCGAATATACCTCAACCTTCTCTCTCTCACACAACTTGCGATTCTTGCCATCGCCAATTCGTTTGGCTCACATGCTGCGCTGCCTTCTTCTACGACTCGTCAGCTAGAGGTACTCACCCCTGCAACGCTGGCTTTTTCCTGAGGACTTCCCGTATAAGATAGGGGTGCCGATTTTTGTAGGTCGTCGTCGCTTGCCATTGCTGCTTTCGCCCGTGGTTGCAAAAGGTGGACATCGAAACAGTCGGTTGAGTTGACTTGGGCGGATATTACGTCTGCAACATGATGTACGGTACTGGCTTGCACGTAACAGTGTATCGTCCAGCAACACTTTGGCCAACAGGCGCAAGTAAGGGAAACTCGCTTTCCTCCTTGTTTACGAAATAACTATTAGTACGCCAAGCAGCAGAAAGAAGGATAATGATAAGCAATTGAGTTAACGAACAGAGTGATCATTTCTGGCTTTCTAGCATGTTCTCTCTCCCGACGCTGACACTAATCCAGTTACATCCGCCTTCATCGACCCACGTTTAGGTAGAGTCAATGCTCGACACCACATCGTATCAAGCTTCGTATCTTGCTGCCGCCCTTAACTGGCTAACACGTAGCCCAGCTGCAATCAGCTCTCTGGTCACCCTTCTTTTAATGACGCAACCGACGATTTCCTGTTGTCCGGAATTTGCTGGCATCTTTCGACGCGTGGTTGTCAATTGGTGGATGTGACGATTGATAATTCCGCCATCGTTGCGTTAATTTACATAATGATGTAGGACCGCCTCGCTAACTCTCGCTGCGCGCACCGCTGTCTGGGGTTCCCCGACGTGCTGCATAATCATCTATCATATCAATTGCGCTGATTTATAGTGCTTACGTCCTGAATCATGCAAACGAATCTACCTATGTGTCAAGTACTGATGAGAGTAGATTGAGGACTCGCCCGGCGCATTTTCCGAGGTCATGCCATATAAAATCATACACGTGACCCTCTATAGTCACTTTGATTGACCTCATACTTTGCATTGTCGATATAAACTTCACTGTAGTGGTTTTTCTAGCGTCTTCTGGACCTTCCTGATGCACAGCTTACAACCCCCTCGAAGCCGACCAAACAGTACGCATGATATGATCGGTACCGTGAGCTTGATGTTGGCAATGACACGATTGAAATAACGACGTTGCCGTCGTGGGTTGTGTGAGAGTATTCGACTCACTCGTTGGTTAATATCGAATTTGACGAGAGTTCTAACCGCTTAGGAGCCCACTCAGGTCGGCGTTGGCTGTCACGGCAGCTCTGTGCTACCTTGCTTCCTCGTTCTGAGTTAGACACGACCTACGAGTACATTGATAACGTCAGTTTTACTTTGCACACGACGCAAAGATTGAGTTTATATTGCTGTAAAAATTACAACATCATGATCGAACGAAGCTTCATAAACCACCAGTAGGCTTTGAGGTCAAAATCGCACGTGCATTGTCCATACAGATCTGACAAAAAAGCATGAGAGAGATTGGCTTTTGGTGCTCCGGGCAAGAAGACCCAAGCGGCAATACTTCGGATGCCACCCGATTGAATCCTCTGGCGCTCGTTGATGACGTTTGGTTTGCTGAGAGCGATCCCGATTTGCTTCAGAAGATTGGGTGGTACCTCACTCGAGCTTTTGTAGAAAGCCACGAGTTTGCGTACAGCTTCTGTCGGTTCTCGACATGCTCGTTGGCGCTGGAGCAGCCTCGAGTTATGGGCGCATGCACGATGACCGACGGGGTTTACTGCTGGCCTGAGGGATACTGGCACTACATAGATCACCACCATGTGAAGCCACCGCAGGAATTCCTGGATCACGTGTTGAACAGCTATGACACATTAGTCGAGATGACGAGAAAGTCTCGGAACGAGAAAAAACTACTGCTTTGGGACTGCACTGAGCACGAAGCTGTAAATATGCCCCAGGGCATGCTGGAATGGATCACGAGCTACACAACTGTTCAAGTTGATCTGTGACGCGATGAAGAGTTTGGCTCTGTTGTGGACAAGAGCCATTATTGAGCGCGACGGCGACTACCCATGGCCATTTGGGCGTAGATGCGTTGTTATGAATGACCTTCCGCCTCCTGTTTGTATTCTTGTTACACAGAGAAAGAGTTTGCGCGGAGGTCAAGTGCAAGAGCGTGTGTAGAACGTGTTGTGTGGCACTGTGTGCTGGGTATCGTGGGATTATGAAATGACACCGCTATTCTGAAGTGGGAAGACCGCAAAGGACATGCATCATTTGCACAAACGATAGCATACAACAGACCATTCTCCTCATGTTTCTCGTAGTTGTTGCACGCAGTATCCACATTGCCTGGACGCAACAGCTTGCATTCCAAACGAAATGCGCGGTGACTAGTCCATCGTCAAGCTCTTTGTAAACCATCCAGCGCCCTGTTGACATTACAACGTGACCCAAGCGCGGTAATCCATATACCTAGGTGGTATATGGCAAGCTTGATCACGGTCTTGCTCTGCTTACCCCGTGATCCTTTCGTACTGCTGCTTGCATGACAGGCGAAGCAGTGAGAGGCAGCGGCTAAGTATGATCAAGAATAACGTACGGCGCGCATGCGTTAAACGTGGCCCTGTCCATTTTGCTTGTTCGTCATTGGCTTTCAGCGCTAACGCCCCCAGTGTGCAATCGTGATCTCCTACGACGCCATGAACAGAGGCAAGGGCTTCATAGGTTGCGATTGTAGAATGGCGATCTTGCAATCATGCGCACTCACAGTTTCACATCCTAGTTGCATTTTTCATGCGCGTCAAAAAAACAAGCGCGACTCAGGCCTCCCATTCCCCGGTGTCGCGATCGGTTTTGCTACACAAGGCAAAGCGTGGAAACTGAAAACGATTGGTAGTAGGGATTAATCGACGCTCAATTATACCGCTCTGATGGTTTGTCTGCCAAGAAGGACGATTGATCCAGTCGCCCAGCGACGTAAGACATCTCCACATCCATCACATCAAGGACTCGTTCTGTGTCGTATGCGTTACACAGAGCCCAGTCTCCGAACGAGAGATCGAGAATGCGACGCTGGATGTCACACTACTTGGCGATTGATTCTTTGATTCCAGGTCTTCTGAACTGTTAATGCCTCGTTTTTATCAGCGCCACCTCATTTTCCGCCTTCGCAAGTACTTGAGCAGTGCAAGCCAATGGAGAGCGAACAGTCATCACGTACACGCACGTAGAAGGTTCATCCACACTCAATAACGTGTCTTCATCACCACACTCGAGGCTCACTGACACGGACCTACGCACATGACACTGTTAGCCATCACTCCAAATCGACTTTCCAATGGACATTTCGACGTCTCACCGCTCGGGGCCCTTGTAGCATCTGTGACCATTAGTGTACCGCATGCTCGTGTAATCTACCGCAACATCGGGCGACATTTCATTGCCATCATGAACTGCCCAGCCATCCCACTTACCAAGAGTTGTATGGTCCTGCTTGACATCACTGAATGCGCAGAACTTGTAGCTGTATTTCTACTTGGACAAACGTTGTTCACTCGGCCATTCAGATGACACAATCAATATCAGCACGCATTGTTTACACCAGACCTTACCTCAATACGCTTCTCGATGCACTTGTCCTTCAGCGCAAAATACGCACGATCCGGGCCATAGTCAAAGGAAGCAGTCTCGTGCTTGTCGCTTCGATCTTTCTCCAACTTAGCAATGTCCGACTGTATCTCCCGAAGCACGATCCGCAATGATTCTGCTACCGGCAACTTCATGTCACTATCCAGCGTGGGACTTGACGTACGTACACGCAACATAGAACGTCAGAAAAGAAAGACTGGAAAGAGCGAGGACGTAACGTACAAAAGGTAGTGATAAGCATAAGTCGGTGTATCCCACACGACCTGCGCGGCCCACATCGCCGAGCTATAACCGTTGTAGACACTGCCTCCACCGAGTCGGCGAAACCAGGCCGAGCGAAAGGGATTCGGTACGCTCGAAAACTTGTCAATCAGGTCAGGAGCTGACAACACCCGCAATAAAACTCGTGGGCTGTACAGTAGCACCTCTACGAGCACACGAACAGGAGAAACAATCAAGCCTATCAAAAAGCCACGTGCTGTGAGTAACGTACATTCACAACCTCTTCCATCAGTGCGAAAGGTTCGTACCGATGAGTCGGAGCACAGCAAGCCCAGCTCTTCTTCGACTCTCTGCTTCTCCATTGATTAGCGGTCCTAGTAAAGCTTCTCGCCACGTTTCTTCTCCTGAACGCGGGGTCCACCTGTAACAAGCGTGACATCGTTCTGCATCAGAAAAGCAGAAAAACCATGTAACGGCGATCAAGCAAGTGTGCACAACTTTGTAGTCGAGGGTTGGATAGTGTGGTCCATGCGCAAGTAGTCCGCCACAGAAACTTTCGTGCCGTCCGGCAACTCTATCAGGCTCTTGACAATATGCTGACTTGAGTCCAACACCTCGAGCGCGCGTTCATCTTCTACTGGGTCGTTAAGCATACCGGCATCCGCCAGCTGAACAGCATCGAGTGTTTCAAACTCCACCGCTCCAATATCGTCGCTGCCGACCGTTCCGTCCAACGACTGCTCGTTGCTCCTGTCGACGCTCTCATCTCCACAATGACTTCGTTTCTCCTGCTTTCGCCTCGCCACTTCGAGGCGGTATTTCGTTTCCCGCAACTCCTCGCGCTCCTTGTGCACCGTGACTCTGTCCATCAGCAGCTTCAACGTCGCCAGGTCGTGCTCAATGGTCGTCTGCGACTCGTTGAGTTGCTCAAAGTACGAATCAATTTCCCCATCGACCGTCGCTTGACGCTTCTCATACCCGCGGCGCACCACTTCGAGTCGCTGTTTCGCCTCGTTCTTGAACGCTTCTGCAGCCCCTGCACACGCATTCGCACAGACTGAGACGCCGTCGCGTTCCTCGTCCGATCCATCGCAGCAGTCACAGACTCCATCGTGAACTTGAGACGTGTGGATCTGTGTCCAGAAAAAAACAAACAGTTAGAAATGCTTTTTTTCACAAGTCGATCAATTGGCCTCACTTTTTTCGCAAAAAAACCGTTGTTTGCACAGTAAAATGCACTCGTGGCCACGTGGGAGCAGGCAGACGTGCCGGGTTCGTCGTCGCCCGCGTCACAGTCGCAGAAGTCGTCGTTCACGCGGCTGATTGGCAGATATTCAGACCGCCCACCCACGACGCAGAGGAAGTCACGGCCGAGGAACTTTTGCTCGTCGGACGGAGCGACGCCGTGGAGTGGCGACGCTGAACAAGAGCGGGACACGAAGATGACGACGACGACGAAGAGGCCGAGTGCCGACACCAGTCGCACAGGGCGCAGCATGTTCGCGGATCGCGGTCGAGAAGGCGCGGCTTGCGATTTGACGCGTCGATTGGCTGATAAGATTGGCTCTTCCCGTTGTTTCGGCCAATCAGCTAACAAGCTAAGGCTGTCATCTTTTTATAGGCGGCCGCTGAATGTGTGTGGGACGCGCTGCGAGTATGACAAAGCACAGTGGCGGGTGGTCTCGTTTGCTCGTGTTGTGTGGTTGCTGCAACGTGCTAAGTACGGAGTACGTAGTGCCCTATGACACACAGTGCCACACGAATTGCTCGACTCGGTTCAGCTCTGAATGCAGCGACCTACTGCATCTCTTATTTTCGCGGACATCCTCAAATCACAAAATTTGGTATTTAGTCTAGACCAGAAACCGTCCTCGGCAGGGCCATTCACTTTCCGACTGACTGGCTGGCAGGAGCTCCTTCTTCTTACACTTCGAAGACCGTCTGACGTACTACGCACGAACGTCTCGAGCGCCATGGGGAACAAGAAGATTGCAGCGCAACTGGAGAAGCTGAAGGGCGACGACTGGGACTCGGACAGCGACAATGAGACGCCTGTCGCGTCTTCGTCCACTTTTGACAGCAAAAACGATCTGGTAAAGCTCCCGGCGGACGCAGACGCCAGTGCCAGTGCGAAGGAGTCTGGCGGCAAGAAACGCAAGAGCAAGATGCAGCGCAAGAAAGACGCGACGGCAGTGTCTCAGCAGAAGACGGATGGGAAGGTGAAGGGCCAGTCGTCGAACGTTATTTATCTCGGCCGCATCCCCCACGGCTTTTACGAGAAGCAGATGATGGGCTTCTTCAAGCAATTCGGCATTGTTCGCCGTATACGACTGTCGCGCAACAAGCGCACGGGCAACTCGAAGCACTATGCGTTCATTCAGTTTGACGAGCCCGAGGTGGCGCAAATTGTGGCCGACACGATGAATCAGTACCGACTCTTTGACCATACGCTCTCGTGCCACATCGTGCCGCCACATGCCGTCCACGAACGCATGTTTCTGGGTGCAAACACAGAGTTCAAACCGCATCCTCGAACTGCAATCAACCGCAATCGCCACAATGCGGAGAAAACGTACGAGCAGACGGTGGTCAACACGAAGCGTCTGGTGGCAAAGGAGCGCCAGAAACGCAAGGTGCTCAAGGCACTTGGCGTTGACTACGAGTTCCCTGGATATGAGGCGCAGATTCCTGTCAAGAAGCAGCACATTGTTTTCACATAAGACGGAGTAGAGGGGTGATGTTACAGACAGAACGTGTTGTTGGCCTGCCAAGGGTGAGTGTGCCCTTTGTTCTCGTGCATGTTACAGCTACGACTAAGCTATATTCAAGCCTTGCGAAATCGATGGTACTTTTCTAGCACTTCGTATGCTGCCCACCTTGTCACATCTCAACTATCGCTGATGACTGCAACAACGCGGTGTAGTATGTGAGCGCTAGTGGCATAGCGTGCTGTACCTCGCAAGTAGTCAGCATAATTTCTGCTCGCAGTATTTGCTGTTTTAGCGACGAAATGGCTTCTCGTGTTGACCTCTGATTATCCGTGCAGGATAGTAGAACAACCCTGGAGCGAAGATAGGCTCGACTCAGGTGACCTTAGGTTCCAGTCTCGCCATCACCATTTCACCGGAGCGTATGTTTACAGATTTGAGAGACAGTTGGCTTTCTTGGGCGATCATCTTGCAGTTTGCACAGGTTGTGTCATCGTATAAAGCATTGAAATGGATTCAGAGCACCGATTTCAGTCAAGATAGTCACTGCCGATGTTGATTCATCGCTGCTCAAGACCCTGACTAGTCGTTGCCAATGCTGCAATCTATCGTCAAGTCGCCTTGGCAAGCATCCGCAGGAGTTTAAATTGTTAGCTGGTCATTTTGACAACAGTTGCCGAAGGTTAAACTGATTATTTTCCATTGCCCACAACAGCCATCAATCAAGATCGAATGTTGGACGCGGGCTGTTTTTCAAGCACGAATGATAGCATCAATGTGCATCTCCACAAGCATCCACCTGACAATCACCATTATCCACCATTCGCTCGCTGCTGTCGCTATCCAATTTCTCATCGACCGATTTGTTTTCGCTTCTTTTTTACTTCGGCAGCTCGCTCACGTAAGTATAAGATGTAATTGTCACAGAAGCTATCATTGCCGGCTGTCCAGGCTTCTATCGTCAGCAAGCGTAGATCAGGAAGGAGCATATTTGAAACGAGAACGAGACTGGAAAGGCCACTGGTCAATGCAAGCCTCCGTATCCTTGGCATCACGGCAGCTGAAATTGCCACTTGCTAGCATACGCCACAATAATCGTGGGGTGATGTATATTGAGGTGTGCAATGGTGGATAGCAAGCAAAGGCGAAGAAAGCAGCGATTCGGTGGCCTTACTACCACAGGTATCTTTAGTAGCACCATACGCGCCGCCGAAGGAAGGAGCTAAATGCGTACTACCCAAAGTCGTAGTCTTTTCGTCACAAGGGTAATGTGGAAGAGACCGGCAGTGACTCTCCACACCCTTCGGCAATCATTCCTGCTCTTTCCGAGGCTCAGAAGGCACGTGCCATGTTCAAAATCTATCCGAGTTTCAAGAAGCTAGACCTACACAAGGCGAAAAACCAAGTTAGCAAAGGGGCGACTCGGCAATCATAGATGCACCGATAGAGTTATCCCGCAATATCTGAGAAAGGAGATAAAGAGGATACGTGCAAGACGCTTTTGCTTGTCAAGCTTCACCGTCAGGATGTGAACTGAACATTTGTTCAAGAAACATACGTGGTCCCAACCTTGCGGAACATACGTATTGCCTACCGTCGAAACAGTGGTTATGATAGTAAGCGCATTCTATCTGCCCTTATCGGTGATGACCAGCCTTTCCATTGGCGTATTTCGCCTCTTTTGTGTGTATGCGCAAGAGTGCATAATGAACACGTCCTCGAAGCTTCCTCTCAATCACCCCAGACGATATACAAGTACGTTTTTCCCTTCTAGAAATGGTCTTGAAACTCTGAAATGTTAGGCACACCCGCTACTTCCAACTTGACATGGCTTTACTCTAGCTGACCAGATGCATAGACTTCTATATCTTTCCTCTTCGATGACACAATCAGACCGATCAACAATTCTCGTTTAATTGTATTAGCAATTCAAATACGAGAGGGGTCGTTGCTACCTTGCCAAGCCGAATCACGACCTTCTGAACTTGTAAGATACACTATGCATCATTTCAGCCCCAATGCCGACAACAGAACCGGAAATTATGCGCACTAAGATCGACTCCAGCAAGCCTCTCTTCACAAAAAGAGACAGTTGGCGAACGATCTCCGACGAAATCCATTATCGGATCTACGTCAATCATGCTGTTTCCTCTCGGTCAATCGTACTCTTCTTTTATTCTGTCTTCCTTCATTTGTACGTCATGAAGCTGGGCATTCTTTTCCTGATCATGGGATGCGAGAAAGTACCTGAATACGAAGGAGCACGTAAGACGATGGACTATTATGCTACAGCGATACATACCATAGCAGCAGATTCGGGCAGGCTGCTTCATGCAATTAGCGAGTGAAGGTTCAATAGGCTGCTTCCGCTGTCCGTAACAGAGTAAATAAGTCTATACGAAGACGCGGACAGTGATCTCAAAACAAGCATTAACGTGGGAGCACAACAAGACAACACAAACGAATGAAGTCCCGAGATAGTTGATCGATAAGACAGAGCTCTAGGATCTTGGTATGCTCAATGCTACCTCTAAAGACCTAGCCATCTTTGACCGCGCAGGGCCTTCAACTCCCTATGGCAAGTAATCGAGAATTTGCAGCGCTACGTCAGGTGTGAGAAGATATTGTTTCTGGCAGGCCATTTACAGTAGATGCTACGCTCTGATGATAAAGAGATCGTTTTTGACACATCGTTAGGTGTTGAGGGTCGAGTGCAAGAACCGTTACAGGTAAGTCCCGGCCTCATCTGATTGACTATTTCAATGACAACTTGACATAGGAAACAAGAGATACCATCGTCGCGTTGAACCATCGTAGGGCGATGGGCGGATCAGACGGACGCCATATGCAACTTGACATGGCCAAGTTGTAGTGTAGTGAGACATGCTTGCTATAATGCTGACAAATAAACTTACCGCTCAATATATTCTCCTTCTACTTCTATCTTTATTGCAAAAAGGCATAACGTCTACTTCCTAAATTACAGATCATGGATAATTCTATCGATTATTACAAAATTTTAATGAGATCCTTAAGTATTGTGAGGAACGAAATGGCGGAAAGCATTCTCTTATAGATGGGAACGGCATGCCGGCAACCGATATTCCGAATGTGTGGATTCTCTTAAGAGTCTTCAGACTGTTAAGAGGAAACTATGAGCATCCGACAAACCCGCAGGTACGGTGCATTTGTAAAGATGATTGCTTAGTCCCGCTGATTGCGAGCTTGACAGCAAGCGATACTAACTATCGTTTTGACTGAGTGTAAGTCCTCCTGTCATCATGCGCCGCTTCAATTTGTAGCTGATTAAGGCAACAATGAGCCCATTGCTGATTGCTAATGAACAATGATAATGAATTTGTCGGCAACGAAGAATGAGGAGGATACTGGTCCGGATGAGGGAGGATTTGCTGTGGACTAGGTAGACATTCACAAAAATGGCCATGTAGACGAAACACTTTAGCATTAATATTAGCATTAATTTACGGTAGTAGTAGTAGTAGTAGTAGTAGTAGGAGGAGGAGGAGGAGGAGGAGGAGGAGGAGGAGAGAAGGAGGAGTGGTAGCAGTTGTTTTTGTTTTGTTGCTATGGTTGCTGTTGTTGCTGCTGCTGAAATTGTTGTTGTTGCTTTAGTTGTTGAAGTTGCAGTAGCAGCATATAGGTCCAATTTAGTGTTATTGCTGTTATACCAACCATATGCAAACTTCTAGAGATATGAGGGAAATACCATCGCTTCATTATTTCCTAATAAACCTGTTGCTAGTTCTGCTACATATGTCAACTTCAATTAGATGTTTGCTCTGTTTCGATTCGACCAATTTTGGCGGGATTTGTTATTCATCACTCACCTTATCGTTTGCCAGCACCCACCCTACAATTAGGGCCTCTGATTGGTCCAAGTGGCGAATCAGAACTTAATATTAAACGACTTCCCTGACCCCTAACAACAACCACCTTGCACTACCATTTTGACCACCTTTCTTCTCGTTTTAACCCATAACGAACAGCCTCGCACCCCCTTTATACCAACGCTTTGCCGCACGCATTAATTTCTCGAACAAAGCAAATGCATTGTGTTCAACAAACTGCTTATCCAGTGTCTGCACAACAATACTAGCCCTAAACACATCAGTACCGATTATCGAAGTCACATATAGAGGGTTGCTGTTTCGAGAAGTACCTGTCATTAAAGGCTTCAATATGCCGAATCACAAATTTTGGACTTCTAGACCTACTACTGACGGTAAAACTACCGGTAAAGTTAAATCCACTGGTGCTGGTGGTAATAGTTGACGACAGGTGCGGGAATCATGGCCGGTTGCTTGGCAGATCCGACATCGTCGTAGCCGCACTATAGCACCCAAAGCAGCATCCGCATGCTCAAATAGCGATGATAGTCGCTGTGTTGACCTCGTGGGACGAGCACGTGTCTGCACTCGCACAGGATCACGGATAACGGTCTCAGGGACTGCCAAAACATGGTCAAGGAAATGCGCTTGCGATGGTTTGGGGCATCGACATATTCGTCTCTAATCGTCTTTAATTCTGTCTGGATTGCAACTAGAGAGGACACGACCGTGGCATCCTTCAACATTTGTGGCTGGACCAGCCACCAATGTTGATCGAAATCATTGGCCGATAGTAATACACCTTAATGACGGAATGCATGGGCACAAGGAAAGCCCATTGTAGATGTCAATAAGCCTAACAGTAAGAGTTATCATTCTGTCGCAGTCAGTCCATGCGAAATTGTCGAAGTCTACATAGCCTTGACAATCCCCATCATCTATAATCCGCTGCTAGTATTGCTAATGCGCAGCACGCAGACCTGTTACCGAACTATTTCCCATCACCGGTGAGAACATCGGACCAAGCTGCATGTTCACAATGGCACGCTGCTTAGCATTTTGCTGCACAACAACATCAATCTGACCTTCACAATCAAGGAGAACTGCCGAATCCACTGAGAGTTAATCACCTGCGACAAATGATTTGTCAGAAAGATGCGGGGG